CCCAGCCAGGCAGATTGGAGGCCTCCACCCTGTGGTGGCTGGGCAACAGACGTCCTTGCCTGTCAGACCTTCCTGTCTCCATTTCATGCCTGCTGGTGAGCAATATTTAGGACCCAAGAGATGAATGGCCTTTGCATTTAGCAAACTTGGTTGTTTCTGTGGTGAAACTTGCCACTAATTTTGAAACAAACATTTGTAAATGCTGGTATTTATAAATCCCTTCCCTTCCTATACATCTTATTGAACCCATATAATGTGATGAAAGGATCTCTGGCTCTTTGGCCCTCAAATACTTGCCTTAGCAGAATTTCAGTGTGAAAATCCCTTTAGAAAATCAGCCTTGATTTGTGCCATTCCTGGACTTAAAGAATTCCCGTTCTCTCATGGAACAGAAGGTGGCCCTCTGATTCTTCCTCATTCTTTTATCCCTAAAACTCTATACCACAGTTTCTCCTTACCCAAAGTTTCACTTTCCAAGGTTTTAGTTTTCTGTAATTAATTATGCTCCAAAAGGATTAAATGAAAAATTCCAGAAATAAATAATTCGTCGATTTTAAATTTGTGCCATTCTCAGTAGCAAGATGACATGTTGCACCACCTCACTGTATCTTGCCCTGGACCTGTATCATCCCTTTGGGCAACGTATCCACCTTGTATATGCTTCCCATGTGTTAATCACCCAGCAGCCATCTATGTTATTAGATTAAGTGGCACAGTTTTCCAGTGCTCACCTAATCCTATTTTACTTAATAATGGCCCCAAAGTGCATAAGTAGTGATGAAAGGAGGTACCAGGGCATAAAACACAGAAGGACAAATTAACTCTGGGTAATGTCACAACACTGCAGGGGATATAGTGATGAACATAGTATATACAGTATAGAGTTTAGTGCTCTCAACAGTTTTAAGGGTGCACCAGAAGGAAAACGGTTTCTCTGTTGGTACCATCTTTCTGTTTTATTTACTTAAATCAGGAATGACAAAATGATTTCATTACATGTTTTCTCTATTAATGATAAGAGACCCTGTGGGTGTTAAGCTGAGAAAGGATTGTATCCCCATTTGGGGATAACGGAAAGATGCTGTGGTTGAGTGGTGATGTCTGCAGTGAACACAGATATGGGCGAGAGGCAAATATGCCATTTGGGGCTTAGATCTTCTGAAGTATGAAGTTCACACATAGGTGATGACAGTACCCTAACAGTTATGTAGTATTTGTTATACACTATAGTATTTGTTATACACTGGGCCTTGCAGTTTTAGCTCATTTAATTCTCTAACCCATGAAGAAGGTACAAGTGAGGAAACATACAATGCAGAAATTCTCACAAATAAGGATATGAAGCTGCAATAAGGTTAAATGACTAAAACAAGGTCCTTTAGCCAGTACAAAGGGGAGGGTCAAATTCAAGCAGTCTTGTACCAGAGCCCAGGCTCTCACTCTGAGCCTGTCTTATATTTTGCTTGCTAATTCTGTGTCTGCTGCTGTAGGACTGGTATAAGACTCAGCAGCATTTCAGAAGAAAATGCAAAATCAAATTTACAGGATCTGTTCCTTTGGTCCTTGGACTCTCAGATAAAAGACATCAGTGATGAGGGCAGCAAACTACCTTCCTCGTTCCTCTCCCATGTGGAGCATGCCTAGTTCTCCCTTCCACCAGCACTTCCCACCTCTCACAGGAGGTAGACAGGAAGGAAAGAGGTATGGACATTTAAAGATAGGAAAGGCACTTATGGTAGGAAAGGCATTTAAGAGCTCTGGTCTCCAGGCCACCTGGCTGGGGGACTGTTTCTGAGTAGCCATTTTCAATGTTCATTTTTATATGAGATACCTGTAAATATAAAGATATATTACATATATTCATGTGCATATAATGACATTTGAGTCACAACCAACTTCCCATGCAATGGTAGTCCCTTAGATTACATTGTCTGATGACTTCACAGCTGTCTTAGTTTGTGTAGTGCCTTCTGTGATATTAGCATGATAATGAGAACCACCTAATGGCCCATTTCCCAAAAAGTGTCCTGTCATACAGTAACATACCACTATGTGTGTATGCATATGCATATGTGTGTGTGTGTGTGTATAAGTGATTCAAATAAGATATGTATTTCATAATGGCTAAAGAGAGTCTTATGAATACCATTTACTTCATGCATTCATTTAACAAATCCTTATTGCATACCTGTTCTGTGTTGGTACAAGGCAGGGGTGGTGGTGCAGTGACCATAGGAAGTAATGACTGCTCTCCCTGGGCTCACAGTCTAATGCTAGAGACGGTCCTTGTCCAAACAGGGACATGAGTATGATGTGCAGGCTTGGCAAATGGACTTGCAAAGAGCCTTGGTCCCAAGGTTTAAGGGTGGCCATAGTAGGGGGCTGAAGGACCCAGGTGGCCAGCTCATGCACATCCTTGAAGACTGTTCTAAAGAGTGTGACTGTAGCTGAGGAGTAATGGGAAACTATGGAAGGTAGGGAAGGGCGTTTGGGAGTTTGTGTCATATAATTAGATTTTTTTCGTGTGGAAAGATAATTGTGGCTACACTGGGAAAAATGAATTGGGAAAGGAGTCTAGAAAGTTTAGAAGGCAGGTGTAGGAGTCTAAGCAAGGAGGTCAGGCTAGTTGGGGCAAGGTGGATTGAGTAGTAAAGGGAAGTAGTCGGGGGTTCTACAGATGTGTAGGAGATGAAAATTAGCTATATGTGGGGACAAGTTACTTGTGAGTCCTGAAGGAGAGGGAAAGGGAAGGATGACTGGAAAGCAAGAGCATGGTGACCCTGCTTCGGTTGGGAGTGGAGGTCTTTCCTGTGCTGTCGAGGTGGCCCCAAGGAGATGTCAGAAGGGCTGCATTTTTATCGTAGAGGTGTTGCATTTCACCCCGCTATGTATAAGCCAGGAAACCAACTATAGTACTAGGGAAAAAATGTAAAAGTCTCTGGTTTGTTTTGATTTTTAAAATTTAATCATATTTTCACTCTAGACTAATAAGAATTGTAACAGTGACCAAAGAAATGAATAAAAATATGTGCCTTGTGTAACTTCCTTGTTTTCAGTTTTGAATGTTCCTCTTCCAGTCTTTTCTTATAACATTTGCATTTCAGTGTTTCGCTGCAGTCTCCATAAAAGATGTAACAGAATTGTTTTCTCTCACTACTATCCCAGATATTTGCCTACCTTTCTGTATATGTCTCTGTGTGGTATTTGAAATATGTTGCATAGTATTCTGTTCATTTGATAAATCAAAAACTGTAATTTTCTAAGCATTTAGTTGGTTTTAAGGTTTCATTATTGCAAGTAAGACCTTAAGTAGACATTTTCATGTGTGTCACTGTTTTCCTTCTGTATTATCCCTCAGGTTAAATTCTTCCAAGTGGGGTTAGTGGGGTTAGTGGTGAGACAGGTTTCTGACCGTAGACATGGGTAAGGTAACATTTCAAAGCCCCTGGTATGTGCTGTAGGGGCCGAGTATGGGGCAGAGTTTTTCTTCTTGCAGGCAGCTCAGGGCGTTTCTTGGTACTCAGTAGGTAGTGGGCCTAACCATATCACTGAGTGCTGGACCACCCGGGGCCTTCCACCATGACCTGCTCCTTGTGCCCAGTGGTGGCTGAGGACCACGGTAAGGTCCTGCCAGCTTGCATGCTGAACCCGGGGTGGTGCCTTCTGCTTCCCAGTCTTCCTGTTGTTAGAATAATGCCACAATGACTTATGAACCAGTGGGAACCCATAAGATCAGGTGGCAAAATCACTAGTGCAAGCCTCTGGGTTCCTCTGCACTTGCTGGGTACTGCACAGGCTGCCGAGGGCTCCCTTGTGCTTGGACGAGGGCTCAAGGTCTCCCATGATGTGATCCCAGACTTTATTTGTCCTTAACTGCCATTGCTCCTCAATGTCACACCTCTGCGGTACTGAGACTATGCTGCTCTCTGGGCAGGAAGGTCCTCCTGCCCTCACTTATGTGCCTCCCCACCCTCAGGTATACACTCTGCATTGCCATCAGGATTCCCTGAGGCAACTTTCTCATGTTGCCCTGTACTCCCGCTCCCTACCTTGTGCCCTTCCACTGCAGACACCTCTGGTATCTTCCATCTGCACCCAAGAATGAGTTTTCTGTTATGCTTGCTTCGAAATGTTTGTCTCTTGAAGGTGATTGTACTGTCCTTGAAGACAAGAACCATGACATACTCCCCTGACAGCCTTTGGGGTGGCCCTTTGATGCTCAGCACTTTGCCAGACCTCAGCAAAGCTAATGTGACCATTAAACTGTAGTGCCTATGCTCCACGACCTGGGGTCAAAGCACTCTGGCTGTTCTTCTCACATATTTCCTGCATAAATGCTCATATTCAGAACCTTCCCAGGTTGTGACTAAAGGACTCCTAAAGGGAGCACATGCCAGTGCTCTCTGTCAGTCTGAGGGGTGTGAGAACATGTTAATGCTGGAAACCCCTAAACTGGTCAGTCCTTAATGTGCACTGGGGCAGGAAGGGGCTGGTGTTGGTGACCTGGGTGATGGTGGGACAGTGGGAAGTGCAGGAATAGCCATCTGACCCTTAAGAAGGTGAATGTCCTTGGCTCCCAGGAACAGTACTTGACTTGTAGTGTCTGCTCTGTTTCTTAAAGCATTGTCACTCTGCTCCTTTTAAATCTGGCTGCATCAATGTTCTGATGGTGAGAGTGGTCAGGGGAAGCCATCCATTCAGCCTGGAGCTCAGGGCTCCTCTTGTTCTCCTAGGATGGACTGGCACAGTGGGGACCCCTTAACCTATAGGCTGTGCAGCCTAGAGGAGCTTGGGCCATTTACAAAACAATATACCTGAACTAGAGAATCTCTCTTCTGTAACTGAGATTAAAAATCAGATCATCCAAACTTAGGGGAGTGAGCTTTGGTGCATTTCTAACTCAAAATGAGAAATAGGCACGTTGACACATTTAATGACATGTGTTAGTATGTGTGTAGAGCTTTACAGTTAAACTTGCATTTCTTTCTTTCTTTTTCTAGCCAAACATCATGTCAATGGCAACAGAACAGTTGAACCTTTCCCAGAGGGAACACAGATGGCTGTATTTGGTAAGATATCAACTCTGAAAGAAAACCCAAATTGTGTGCAAGCCTACTGCCAACTTTCTTAGTTTTAGCAAGTGTCCTCAGGACTTCAAAATCTGGGCCCTTCTAGATATTTACAAGTCATTACAGCCAAGAAAACTATCGTGTTCTTAGTAATTTCTGGAATGGGGATCTCATTCTATAGATTCTAGTGTGCTTTCTTTTTCTCACATTGACAACCCAAATATCAAACTGTGTATTTGCTATTTCTTTTGTCCACACTGTGAATTAACCTACTAATTTAGGGTTTGAGTTTTTCTTTGCTAGGAGGAATTTTTTTTCACATTGATGTATAACTTTAAAAATCTGGGATTCAAGCAAGTAGTTTTGAGTTGTTTTTACACAAAAATCAATCTAATTAGATGACCTTCTTCACCATCAACTGAACACATTCCTTAGGAGAAAACAATTAAAATATTTTAAGTAGGACAAAGTCCAATCCCTGATTGTATACCTAAGATACACACTTATGAGACTGAGCAGAACTTTCCAGTTAAATTCCAAAACCACTGGTGAAGAAATCCTTTGAGGGCCAGGGTTGTAGGTCAGTGATGGAGCACCTGCCTAGCATATGTGAGGCCTTGGGTTCCATCCTCACCACTAAAAACAAAAATTCCCAGTCCATGTGTCCTTACTCCTGTACTTTCTTCCAAATATCTCTGTATCTGGCATTTGCTTTGCTTGCTTCCTTCCTGCCTGTGTCCCTCCTGTGCATCTTCCTTCTCTTCCTCATGTCAGTTTGCTTTGTGCCTCTCCTTCCTCCTTTCTCTGGCAATGCCCTGGGGTCTCCCCATCTGCACAAATGGACATCCTACTGTCTCTCTTGGTTCATTTCCCTCAGGTTTTCCCTTTAGATAGGTTCTGTGCTTTGTTCCATCCTAGAATATCGAGGCCTGCTGGTTCATATCTTCTCTCGTTTTGTCCTGTGGGGGTATTGAAGGCGGTCTCCAGGGGAAGGGAACTGCTTGGAAGCCCTGACTGTGCCTGCCCTCGAGATTGTCTCAGAACAAGCCAGGTCCTAAATGAGTACATTCCCTCCCTCCCAAGATGGAGGTGATGTAGTCATCAGTGCGGATGAACTGTTGGAGAGTTAAGAAATAGAAGCGTGATTTTCCTAACTTGGTAAATCTTGCTCCAAATGAGCTATTGCCTTTTAAAATGTTCCAGTCAGTGATTAGAAGTCATTGTGCTCAGAAATTTGAATGGATAGTTTTATTTCATAGAAGGCATCATGCATACTCTAAAATATGTGCTAAAATAACTAATTTATTCACTTTTATATCCTGCAGTTTCATTTACCATGGGACACAAATGCCACACGTCAATGTCCAAAATGTTCTTTGAATGATTTTTTCAGTCTCTCAGATTTCCCAACCCCAGACATGCTAGAGACTAGGTTCCCTGTCTTGTTAGGAAGTGTTAATCACACTGACCCACCTTAGCGCCTTCCCTCCACTGTGGTGTTGGCAGAAACTTCCCTTATGGAGGGCAGACTCTGCACCAGACGGGCTGATGTCATGGTTTGGCTACAGAATTGGAAATGTCATGGAATAAACCTCTCTGGCAGGATTTTTTTTTCTTACCACCAATTTGGCTTATAGAGACACACTAAAATTCCTAACTGAAGGCCTGCATGGTTTGACTTTGATAGACAACTTTCCCTTCTAAGGCCTCTGTGTTCTGGTGAAAAGGCTGTTGGTGAGCACTGGACATTTCCAGCCCTGGGCCTTTGCTTTGCCTCTTCTCTACTGGGGACCCAAGGTGCACCAGGCAGAAACAGCCTTGGGAAGTCCTCTGGGAATGGCCGACGTGTGGCTTGAGAGGAACTGAGTCACATGTAGCGTTCCTACAGGTTAACAGCATATAGAGGGCAGAATTATACAGATCATAAAGTGAAGAATTCTTTCTCTGTAATTCCAGTTTGGGTCTTCCAGATGCTTAAATTAAGGTTGGCTAAGGATATGAAAGGTTTCTTATTAATGTTTTCAGAACTGTCCTTTTTATGTCACTAGTCCACCTTGTCTCCAGTGGAGTGAAGGAGTAGATGGCTGTTTGGGAGGGTTCTGTCATGCTGGGTTCTTTATAGTTGCAATGAGAAGGTCAAAGTAAGACTCTTTGAGCTATATGGGACCTTTCCTCCTGCCAGCACCCGGGCTGCTGAGCTTATATAATCCCGTTCTCAGAGAAATCATCTGAATTATCCAGGGACTCTTGGCCAGTGAAGCTAGCATTTGATCCCAGAATCCACATTCTTTTCTGATGTTCCCTCTTATGCACTGGTTTGAGGAGCTCTGAGAGGGCCTTGTAGATTCAGAGATGCCTTTCAGTTGGCTACACACACAAAGCATGATTTCCAGCCAAGCCAGTTTAGCAAATTGATTTATCAACTCCTATGCATTTTTAGATCACTCTGAAGGACTCTTGAGATGCAGCTTTTGCCTGATAAATACTGCTTGGAGCAATGTCTCCTATTACCATTTCCCCTCCTGAATTTAGGAGCAAATGTGAATGTACAGGAGCGTGTCTCACGTCTCCTTTACCATGTGTTACCCAGAGCCATGGTGGTACTTTGTACTCATCCAGACTCCTTCTTCAGCCTTGGAGGCCTTGGTATTTTATGCGAAAAGAGTATCACCAATTACAATTTTCTTATCCAGTGGTTAATTATTTTCATGTACTTAATAGAATGCTGTCTAAATAGGAACTTTTAGATTTAATCCACTCTGCAGGTGACCTCGAGATGCCATCGGGCTCTCAGATGGAGTGCAGGATGTAAGGAAGGACAGAGAGTGCGAGGGATCAAGGTACATTCCAGGGTGATAGTACCTGAATGTCCTATTATATCAAGTGATCAGAGAATATATAGATAGTTCCTTAAAAACGGTTCCTGGCATATAGTCTTTACAGATTATTTTTAGCTCAAGACATTTCAGTTCTTTCAGGCTTTCTTTTGTAGTCCCTTAGTGAACTCTTTTTCAGGCTCCTGTTTTTCAGCCATCGAGTTCTTCAGTCCCTTTGTTGCTCTTTCCCTGTGCACACTGGGACACAATGCTAATGAACGCAGTGGGCCTTTCTCCTGGTGGGCCCTGCCTGTCTACCTATGATGCTCGCTTTCAAGTCAGCAGGGGCCCTTTCCTCACAAGCTGGAAAGGGGAACTGGACATTTCATAGTTGCTTAATGTCTGTGTTCCTAGTGGCTCAGAGTGCCCTCTGGCCATCATCCCTTTAATCCTCACATCCACCTTGTGAAGTGGGCACCACTGTGTTCTTTTATAGGCAGAGAAACTGAGGCACTGAGGATTAAAGAAATGTGGTCAAGCAGAGGGGGTGCTTTCTCCCATATGAGAACGTCTTTTGCCAACATGCTGTGCCTGTCTTAGGAAGGTGCTCTGTGGCTCCCAATATCTTAATGAAAGTGACATCAGTTGGCAGTAGGCCACTCTGTGCATGCAGAGAGCCAGTCTGTAGCCTCCCTGGGGAGGAGGCTCCTCAGCACAGAGCAGCTACTCATTTTATTAAAGACACTCCACAGTCAAGAGGACCAATCATTTCAAACTAAAAATAAAAGCTTCTTAACTGAGAAGGGTGGAAAGTGATGGGCAGGAGAGCCCAACCTTGAGCATGGGGTTTTTAGCGCAATTTTACAAAGTAAGATCAAACATTTAAAGCTTGAACATAAATTTGTCATCTAAACCAAGGCACTTTTGAGAGTGGAAAAGGTGTTATTAAAAAATGCGTTGAAATGATGAGGTATATACCTGGAGGGATTCAGGCACCTGGGATATAATGTCACCTTATAATGAGCGTGTATGTTACAAACTATTGCACCAAGAATCATAAACACACGTGGAGTGAAGAAGAAATTGAAAAAATAATGAACTAAGATATATAAAATGAAGTAAATGAATGAAAACTTACAATGCAGCAGGCTTTGGTTATTGTAATGTAGCACTGACACATAGTTATGCTAACTTTGAAGAATTTACCTGATAAATATTGAATGACTTCAAATTAAAAGTTGGCTCATATTTATAAAACCTGGCTTGTGGCTCCCCAATAAGAGTAGGAGAGTTGATCCTAACCAATGGGGAAATAGAGTTAAATAGCTTAAAGAGACTTCCTCTCAATTACCGAGATTTTACTATGTGACAGAATGTCAAGACTTTTTTCTTAAAAACAAAAAGCAAACAAATAAACAAAAAAACAACCAAAAAAACCCCTTCAAACTCCTTTTGGCCTATCATTTAGAAACTCATATCCATGGGTTACAGCCCATGAGAGAGCACTTGGTTGGTATGCCTGAGGCCTTGGGTTCCATCCCTGGTTCTAAGAAACAAAAACAAAAATAAAAACTTCCAGGTTGTTTGGTGACAGCTAAGATTCTGCAAGAAAAACTACTTTAATGTTCAGAAGTTGATGCCTTACAGTAGCAGCCAAAGGGCTCTGTGACTTCCTCATGGATGTTTAGGCTCCCAGTGTCCTGACAGTAACGCTGTGACCACAAACCATCGAAAAACCTGTGTTTTATGTCAGGTTCTCTTGTGCCTTCGGACCAGCAGAGCAGAAGCTGGCTGATACCTCATCACGTATTGCTGCTGCTGCTCAAGGGGCATGGAAGGACTGATGACCAAGGGGGCCCGCTGCAGTTGGGGGCCCCAAGCACAGCTCCCTTGGGGATAGGGGAGCTCGCCAGTGACACCACAAGGAGAATGAGATCAATGTCTGTAAGATGAACTGGTCACAGGAGCAATTTCTCCCCTCACTTGAACTAGAGGTGATTTTTGAAACAGCCCCAGTTGTCTGCCAGCCAAGAAAACAGCCTTGGAAACAGCAGGCAATATGTCAGACTTCAAAGGAAAATATATTGGTGTCTCATTGGCTCACATCCAACATTATGTTGGTAAATAATCGAATCCCGGTGTGGCATATTTCGCCCTGAACCTTGACTGAAAGCTACTGAAGCC